GCAAGGAGTGACCAGGAACAATGGTCACAAGCTGGCGGAGGGAAGGTTTAAGTTGGACATCAGGAGGCGCTACTTCACGGTCAGGGCGGCTAGAGTCTGGAACCAGCTTCCAAGTGAGGTGGTGCAGGCTCCCACCCTGGGGGTTTTTAAGAGGAGGTTGGATGACCACCTTACTGGGGTCGTTTGACCCCAGTGCTCTTCCTGCCATGGCAGGGGGGCGGACTAGATGATCTGCTCAGGCCCCTTCCGACCCTAGAAACTATGAAACTATGAAATCTATGAATACAAAATCAGGTTCCCTTGTACTCCTGCCCATCAGTTATACACACACCATTTCAGCGGTGTCGTGCAGGACTGACCAAAGCAATTCAGAAAACTTTGTGTACTGAAGAGAACTTTTCAGACTGAATGAATAGAAAAATGATATACCTTTCATACAAGAAAGAAGCCTCTCTTCTTCCAAGGGTCACTGCAATACATGTTTGCATTACAGAGCTATTTTCCCAATCCTCTATTCCACTCCATGAGTTTTAACTTAACCTTTTTTAACATTTGGTTGGGACAAAGTTAGAGAGAAGGGGGGTGGTGTGGAATGTAAATCAGGAAAAATAAAAGAAGAAAACATTCTGTATATGTGAAGCCAACTGCTTCCATTACTGTGCCAAGTGACAGTTGTCATGAAAGTAGCTGTATTAGAAAATCAAAGCCATAAACACACTGCCAATGACAGAAGGACTCTTTTCTTTTATCAGAATTGTGCTTGTCATACCCCTCTTACACGTGTACATCGAAGGGGAGAGATGATCTCCCATTTCAATTTGTAAACCAGCTGTAACAGGACTCAGTTGCAAAAGTTTTAATATTTCCAATTCAGTATGAGCTTTTATCATGTCAAACATGGTTCCTGATACCTGGATCATGTAAGTTAGATTTCATTTCTGCATTGCTGCTGCTGAAAATTATGCAGGCTTCCAGAACTTCCATGCTCACTGAATGCTCTATCAAATGGGAGTCTCTTGCTGTATGTGAAACGGTGCACTGAAGCTGCAGAGAGAACAACTGTGTTTCTGAGAAACACTCAGCATTATTCTGGCAAAACACTCAGCTTTGATTCAGCTATAAAGCACACTCACCCACAGCTAAGAACTTAAACAGTGATTGACGGCTGTAGAAGAGCAAACCTATTATGGTTCATATAGTGGAAAAGGTGCAGCCTTCTAGGTTAAAAATCAACTCCCTTCAGGCAGAATGTAAAGGAAATTGGAGTTGGTTAGACCCAAGCTGATTTTAAGAGGAGCACAAGGTAAATGTTCCCATGTTACAGAAAGCAAACAAATGCTTTTAAAAATAGCTAAAGCAGCAGAGTGTAAGTAATTGGTGTCGGCAAACAGAATCTATTTGGTTTCTGACATTAGCCCCAGGACTGAAGATTGTCCATATTTTATTCATTATGTTATTACTCACATATGTTTTGAGTGTCTTGTAGTAGCAAAATGTGATTCTATTTTCCCCTTCATTTACCTTCAAGACTGTTCTGGCTCTGGAATAAATATTGACCTTTTAGAAAGGGATAATGCAGCTCTTACTCTGTGGTTTTCAAGACAAGTAGATATTAAATCAGTTTATAAAATAATTGTATAACGATTCAATAATTGTTTTCTGTTGTGACTGAGTAGCTACTTCCTACATTATTTAAAAGAGCACTTAATTTTTTGTCTTGCTTATGCTGGAATAAATTTCTTTTACCTTAGGAAGTAAATCATTAGCTCTAATCACAGATAAACCACAGGGCTAGATTCACAATAGGTATTTAGGCAATTAACTCTTGCATAGGTATCTAAGCTCTCACTGATTTGGATGGGAGCCTACATATTTCTGTTGATTTGGGCTGATGTATTCACCACAACCCCTTCCTCCTAATCCAGTTTGATCTGGAACTCAACAGGGATTTAGATTTATACATGCTGAATTGACTCTCAGTGGAATTTGATAATCTTGCCAGACTGGACCAAACTCAGCTGCTATGGAATTTAAACTTGCAGAAACACAGAAAATACCTCACGTGTTGCCAAACATGATCGCTAATGAGCACACATTTAATTTCCATCTGACAAAATGAACATCTCATTAATATGTTGCACCTTTACCCTTTTAATGTGCTATGGTATGGTTAACTCTCATTGTTCAAATAGGGTTGTGTTAGTACTTGAACAGAAGCCATGCAAGAACACCTAGCAGAGAGCAGGGTATGATGCAATTTGTTTTTTCTCATGAGTCAGCACTGAACCAGGTGGAGAGAATGGAGGAAATCATGCAGCTGGAAGTGGCCTAATCTCTTTCAGATGACAGTACAAAGACCTGACTATTTAGAGTCATTAAAAATCCCAGAGCACTGAGAGTATAAACTGGATTAGTAATCTAATGGCCCTAGTTAAACTTTTCTTTCCTACCACTCACGTGCAACATCCTTTGTCACCCCACAGGCAGCTGCACTGAGGAGCACTGCTGTACTGCATATACTGAAGTGCTATGGATGCCCCAAGAACAAATATCCCCCCCCCCCCCATCAACTCTTGAGAGTTTTATGACAAGTCTCACATAATTTAATGTTTCTCCCAAAGCCTCAGCTGCCATGCCTATAATGCCATGAGACTCACAGTTTCCATTAAACTACTTCCAACTTTTGTGGCTGCAGAACACATCAGGAATGAGACCAGTGGGAACCTCCAAGGGCTCAGAAGACAAATGAAAATAGAAGCCTCTTTAAAGGCATCATGACTTTAAAACCATTAAGCATTTCCCACATTTCTGGGCTTCGTGGTCACTCCCCCACCCCCTTCTGCTTCATGCGTCAGGGGGGTGTAAGACTTGGGCATTGGGAGTTAGCTACAGCCGAGATTGGGGGGACTTTGTGGAGGGTGCATATGCTTCTGCTAGGACCAAAGCCAGAGGCTCTTGCCTTTTGCTCAGGGTCAGAAAGAAATTTTACCCCATTGTCACGCTAGTACAGCCTGGGGGGTTCGCCTTCCTCTGTAGCAGGGGTGCAGCCCTTGGCCTAGGATCTCTTGAGCGTATATCAATGACATCTCACAAAAGCAGGACACTGGCTGCCTGGTTCCCTTGCCTTACCCACAGCAGGTTGGGGCACAAGGCCTGCACTGCGTTAGCAATGACAACAGCCTTATGCCAAGTTTAGAGGAGGCTTATATAGGGTGGTTAGGACAAGGGTGATGTTGCCTCAGGAGGAACTAGGCAACACGACCTCCAGAGGCTCCTCACAGCCCTGCTCCCCTGACTGTGGGGAACCTTGGTACTGCCCCATGCAGGGGATGCTGCCTGTTGCACGTGAAGACACCTTCCTATATCACCCTGCTACAGTAGTCTTTGTGACACATCTTGCTATGAGAGCAGTCAGCCCCAGGACCCCTCAGCTGAGGCACGACTCCAATACTAGCCCAGACTGAAGAGAGCTAGCAAAAACCCTCTTCCAAGTGCCTTCTCCTCTCCCCCTTTAAATCGTCTCGATGACATCACCCGCGGCGTGACGTTTTCAAGGCGCATGCGCATAAAAGACAGCACACTCCTGACGTCATCCTCTAACCATCTACTTCCGGGTCGTAGCTGTCACTCCCCTGTTTCCGGGTGGGGGCTCAGCCTGGTGGGGGAAGGGGCTGCGGGATTTTTTTCTCGCTGGATTCGGGGAGAGAAGCGCGCATGCGCGAGCCGCTGAGCCTGGGTTCGCTGCTGGCGCAGCGCGGGGGTCACTTCCGGCTGTGGGGGGCGCTCGGGGTCTGCATCCGGGTCGCGGGTGGCTTCCGGCTGGCGGCGGTCGCGGCTCTGCTCCGTGAGTGCGGGCGGCCGGGTGGGGTCCGGGGTGGGAGCTAGCGAGGGATGGAGCTCCCTGCGGAGCCGGGGGAGCGGGACCAGGGGCTGCGGGAGGGAGTAGGAGGCAACGTCCCTGTCCGGCTCCAATCGCGGTCCTTCTGGGCTCAGAAGCTGCTTGCGCTGGTGCGGGATTGAGCTGCATTCCCCCGCGGGGCCGGGCCCGTTGCTGCGTCGGGACGAGTAGCGCGCACTGGCTGGGAAGAACTACGGGTCCCTCCGGGTTCCCGGGCAGCACTGGGTTTCCGTCTGGGCTTCCTCTGAAAAATGCCTCCTTAAAACAGCTCCAGAGCAGCCTGCGCCGGTGGCAGAAATGGCTGCGGGGAGGCTTTTCTGTGGAGTGCGGGATTTTTTTTTTCTGCCCGGCTGCTTTAGAGACGTTGTGCATAAAGTCGGACTTTGCAGACTTATCCGAAACAGCAGCTTTTGTTGTGGGACAGAAGCGACAGCCTTCCTTAGACGCCAGCTTTTAGCAGCTGGTCTGCTGTAACAAGAGTAGCTGAGGGAGGGATGCCACCACTCTCGCTGAGGCAGAAAGTTGTGAAGGTGGTACTTCTTGTTAGGAAAAAAACACACCCAAATACCTGCCAGCAAGGCTTCTTCAGATTTGTTTGGAACTGGATTTTAATACTTTAGAGGAAACGGTTGTCGTTGAATAAGGGTTGCATGTGCATGTTTCTTGCTCCTTTTCTCTTTTAATCTTCATTTTTCAGCTGAGCTTTCTTAACATTCCCAACCATTTTTTTTGTGTGTGTGGTTAAGCGTTTTCCTAAATTCAGTGCAATTCTGTAGCTTTTTTTAGTGTATGGCAAAATCTTCAGAAATGAAAATCCTTTTTATCCCACATAAAGATGATGGCCTAAGTAGCCACATTGTACGTTTTCCTCATGTTGCTGTGACTGTATTTTCACTCATGTCTTACCTTGGGGTAACTGAATCTCTCTGGCACATCTACCCTTTGATTTACCTGCCACGACTTTTACTGAAGGGACTAGATTTAGATGTTTTTTCTTTGCGTCCACTAGACACTGGGCTAAGATCACCGCCATTCACTATGTATTCACCACCATTTGCTAGCTCAGAGATCAGCCATAAGACATTAAAATCTTGTAAGTAACTTGCAGTGAAAGGGCTTTGTATTTTGATGAATTCTCTTGAGCTACCACTATTCTTACAGCTGTATTAATCAAGGCCGAGTTGTGTAGAGTACTTACCAGGCACTCTAATCGGCAATGTTGAAAGTAAACTGTTATCACCTAACACTTATGGGAACCCACCCCATGATTAGCAAACTGGTTGAGATGAGTGTGAACTCCCAGAAACTGTAAGTGTTAACAGGCAAAAAAGATGCTCTTGAAAGCTGCCGTCTGTTGTCGTCTTTCATATTTTGATTTGCAGCCATGTTTTTAGTGAACCCTGGCACATCCACAAGTGGCAAGCTGTGATTGGAGCTGGAGGTGGCTATGAAAGTCACAGTGCCTGAGGTCTTTATGAAGGACCCCCTCACCCCCTTTCTTTTCCTTCAGAGGATGTTTTGTCTCGCCAAAGAAAGCTGCTTCATCATACATCTCTCAAAAACAGAAGAGTTAAAGCATTCAGCTCCCTACCAGTGTCAGCTTGTTCCCCATCATAAATGGTACAGTTCGCCGTGAATGACCTAAACAATTTCCCTTTGGAGTTGTCCTGTAGCCTAATTGTCGTTGTTTTTAATTGAGTAACAGAATTCTGCTGCTTTTCTTTCTGTAAAGACCAAGGTAGTTACTGATGGCAGTAACTTTTAATATGTAGTGGAGAAGTTCACCTTTCTCAATTTTTCAGGCTGATTGCAAACCCAGGAAGACAACACTATGTTAGTTTACATGTGCCTCAGTTGGGAGATTATGCTTGTAAAAGTAAAGATTAGACCTGTATGTTGATTAAAAATGAAAGCTTAGATTATGTTGGATTTGATGTCCAGACCACAAATAGAGCAGGTTGTCCATGTGCAGTCTGCACACTTGGACATCTGTGCTTCAGGGATTTGGTTAAATAGCACTTTAAGTCAGGGGAAAGAGCTCTTTTGTGCAGGAGACCTTGATTCAGTGAAGCCAAAGTGCAAATGTCAGTTCCCAGGTAAAAGCCATAAATGATTCGTTTGCACTATGCTAACATTATCTTTCAAAGAAAGCAGCAGCACCAACTTTTTGGCCTTTGGATACAAGTGCCAGTTGCAGAATAAAACCTTGGCTGTACCAATCAATGCCTGCTCTTCCTGTTGAGCATTGTATATGCACTGTTCCACTGTTGTGAGAGATGTTTAGGGTAGTTACAGCCTGGTGGCAGATTAGACTCTACATAGCTGGATGAGTTTGTATGAAAGGCATGAATAGAAGGGATAAGGCTGACGGTCTCTCCAGTGCATGGATCAGTGTCCTGCAGCTAGAGAGAAACACGGGAGTGATCTGAAGTTAAGCAGACATCCTCTGCATTCTGTCTTGCAACATTTCCTCTGCAGCCAAAGTAAAACAATTTTTCTCTTCATGCGACGTTACTAAGACTCTCAAAAGTCTCCAGTGTGTTCACAGTACCTAGGCCCTTTAGTCAGTAAACCATTGTGTTCTGATAAGTAGGACTGTGAAGGCATCCCAGCTGCATCCAGTTAGCTTGGGCACAACTGGGAACATCTGTATAATAGTTGGAAGGGTGCTCCGGGGGGAGAACAAGAGGCTTGTGTCCACATTCACAGAAAGTTGAAGGGCCTGTGGTTGGAGTCCTCTGCTATGTGAACTATTTCCTAGACTTTAAGGGTATGGTAGTACAGATGGTGTGACTTCTCTCTTGTGTTTTTGTTTTTTATTTCAGAAGAATTGCTGTTACTGAGGACTCCAAATGCCAGATAACCAGCCTGCTCCAGAGTAACCATGAAAGAGGCAAGGTAGCTGCCCGAGAGTGAACCACAATCCTATTTCGATGGATACAAAACACAAAGACGATTTATTTAGGAAATATGTACAGTTCCACGAATCCAAACTGAATGCCTCTGATAAGCAGTGTCCTATTAATGATGAATATCTGCGAGTGGCAGCATCAGCCTTGCTCTGCCTTCCCAAAATCGATCCCTATTATAGATTCCGGTTGATTAAATTTTATGAGATGGCTGAAAACTCCCTCAGATCTCTGAAATCTTCAAGTTTACATTCTCTCCATAGTGCATTCAGTATGCTGGAGACAGTTGGGATTAATGTCTTTCTTTATCCCTGGAAAAAGGAATTCAAAACTATTAAGGTAAGAACCTTCCTGGAGAGTAGCAATAGAAGAGAGTGTTTTGCCTTGTGAATAGCTAGACCTCTGATTTTACTCTCAAATAGTGTAGTAGGTGTATAGAGAAATAATAAACAGATGCATTAGAAAACTGTAGATTGAATGGAGTAGATTTTAATGAAAGGTACCATAGAGGCAATGGAGCCTGAAGGCCTCTGTGTCCAAACTGCAGCTACAACATGGGCATAATTGTTGTGACACTGTTCTCACACTGCCCTATCAATTCGTTCTGGCTTTGACCTGGAAGACGCTTCCTCCAGGATGAGGGAGTTGTTGATTTGTACGTGCACTTGGTGTTTGCACCTGCTGTTAACTTGGCACAGTGTAGTTTTAATGGTGAAGTGTGCTTTGTGTCATTAAGGAGAGCTCTTGCTGCTGTTTCTGTCCTGGTTCCCCAGGAACTTGTTTCATACTAACTGGCATGCTTCCACAGGAGGATTTCTTTAAGAATGTCTCTTATCCTACTTGCATGGAAGTCTGGGTTTAATAGCCTTTCAAATTCTTCATCTTTGGTAGAGTCTTTCATGGCTGATGCTAGAAATATTTTTTAAATAATGTAAATAGCAAAGGTACTTGCATGTTGCTTAGCTTAGACCAGTGGTTCTCAGCCAGGGTGCTAGAGCACCATAGGGTGCCATCAGATCCTTTGAAGGGTGCCATGAGGTGTGAGGAGATGAACCTAAGCTTTGCTTCTCTGCTTATCCCTGCCTAGGCAGTCCCCTACCCTTACTGTCCAGCCCCTATGTAGGGAGGTAAGCACTCTAATATATAAATTAATTTTTGACATTGGGTGCCACTCAATTCATACAAATTATGGAATGGTGCCT